GCGGGGCACAGCAGAGTGCAGGGCAGCTGTGGCCTACCCCACCGTTCTCTGGACCTGACATCTCCTTATTACACCACAGAGCATGGCTCAGTAGACAGTCTTAAATGGGAACATGCCTTTTGTAATTCTAAATCCACCCTAAAATTTTAGCTTACAGGTATGTGAGTTTTTTAAAAAAATCTCTTAAGAAATGCCTTGGATTTTGAATCTGCCTCAAATAGGTATAGTATGGTTTAGCTTAGGGCAGCTAAAACTCCTCTAAAGGAGCTTGGTGGTGACTCATTGCCGTAGCATTTGCAAAAGGCTTTTAATAACCCAGTACCTTATAGATAAATTTCACCCTACGTCATAGTTGGGGCAATGAATGCATCAGTAGGAGAGGGACTTCACCTTACATCTACATTTGCATAGGAAATGGCACAATATCTCACAGGTCCATTCATTCAACATCTATCAGGAAACTGAAGCATCAGCAATACATTGGTGACTATGCTAATGAGTTTGTAGTCAGGTTCGAGGAGCCTACAGCCTAATTAAATTAATTTCCCCATTATCATTCATGTTTGAAAATGACTGGAGAGCTGTTATTGGACTGGCAGAAGCTGAAGACACTGCTTTATTCATCTCTGTAGTTCCAGCATTGAGCCCAATGCCCCTCTCACTCTAAATGCTCAAGAATGAATGCACAAACATTTTTTAAATTATTAGAAATAGCTTATTAAATAAAAGATTAAAAGATTATTATATTCTTACTAAACAAATGCATAGGAAATACAATTATGCAGGTAAAAGGTTTATAAGTTTAGGCTAAAGATAGTTTATTTGCTAATAGAGGACATAAAGCCATGTAAGAGAATGCAATGTCCTTAGCATGTACACAGTCCATCTCCAGACCCAGGAATGGATATCAGAAGTACTTAAAAATGAATCCCACCAGAAATGTGTAATCGGATTAATAACATACCAACCTTTCCAATGCTTTTAGGAAAATAAAGTTGAAGAGAAATAGGAAGTGACATAAATCTGAACCACAAAATTATGTCATCTAGAGAGTGGCCATCAACCTGATAATCGTCTTCCCTGCCTTTTTCTTCATGACAAGTCCTGATAGGTGGGTAGAGAGCAGGAAATCCAAGACCATGACCAGGTTAGCTGCAGGCTGGTTTTAGAGAACCAGGGCACTCCTAGATGATTGAAAAAGGTTCCCAAGGCACAGGTGGAATTGAGATCTCCCAGGAAGAACCTGGTTCATCCAGAACCTTCCCACGGTTCTAAAACTGAGCTCCCAATTCTAGAGGTAATGCCTCTGTGGGCTCATCACCAAAGCAGCTGTGGGCTCATCACCAAACTCTGTGAGCCAGAGCCCTTCGCTGCAGGCTGGTTTTAGAGAACCAGGGCACTCCTAGATGATTGAAAAAGGTTCCCAAGGCACAGGTGGAATTGAGATCTCCCAGGAAGAACCTTGTTCATCTGGAACCTTTCCACGGTTCTAAAACTGAACTCCCAATTCCAGAGGTAATGCCTCCAAGGCAGCTGTGGGCTCATCACAAAACTCTGTGAGCCAGAGCCCTTTCCCTCACCCCCTGTGCAGTCACACCATGGCTGCCTGTGGGCGGGGCACAGCAGAGTGCAGGGCAGCTGTGGCCTACCCCACCGTTCTCTGGACCTGACATCTCCTTATTACACCACAGAGCATGGCTCAGTAGACAGTCTTAAATGGGAACATGCCTTTTGTAATTCTAAATCCACCCTAAAATTTTAGCTTACAGGTATGTGAGTTTTTTAAAAAAATCTCTTAAGAAATGCCTTGGATTTTGAATCTGCCTCAAATAGGTATAGTATGGTTTAGCTTAGGGCAGCTAAAACTCCTCTAAAGGATTGAATTTGGGTAGCCAGAGTTAACTAAGTCTAGGTAA